TCTCAATGTGAGGCTCAATTAGGGGAAATAATTACTGTGTTTCTGGACCACTTTGTTGTCCTTGTCCTCCTGTAGACATTCAAACACAGTAAGATACAGTTAGATCAAAATAAGACCTGAACATTTAAAAGACTGCTTTGGCAGAAAAATCCCTACACACATGAAGAAGGTTGTAGGACTGGTTTCCCAATCTCCATGTTCATAGCAGGGTAATGGTTATTTAAAAGCATGTTAAATGCAAGAGGGGCATACAGAATAGGACCAGGTGTGAGCTTTCCAAAGCGCTTGTGTTCACATCCTTGAAGAATGAGGAAAGAGCACGTCAGTAGTCAAGTGGTTTTTAAACTTTATTCATAAAGTAACAGTTTCCTTTTGTTGTTACAAAACTATAGCCACTGGGAAAATAGTAATCAAATGTCTAGGTCTTGGATAGTACTCTTGGTTAATGCTAAACCTAGCTTAAGTAGACTCTACAGTTGTATAACTTTGTTAAAGCATTTTGTGAACAAGTGAGGTTGTAAACTCTGTAATTGTAGTTAAATAGTTATTGTATTTTCTTGTGAGATGTGTTTTAATGGTTTTACCTCAAATCACAAAAAAATTGAAGTGCTTTGGTCATTTAATAAAATGATTTTACCCAGAGTGGTGTGATTTAAATTTTAAAACTTCATTCTAACAAGCCAGATTCATTCATTTTACTTTAGCTTAAAATTCAATTTCACTTGTTTTAGTCCATGCAGAAAGTGGTTTTTTAAATTTATTAGCACATGTTTGCAGTACATGCAATTTCCAGTCATCTTGGAGAATGGTTACATGTATGTAGGCTGGATTCTTTATATTTCCAAAAGAAACAAGTCTACAAGGGCAGATCTTCATAGTCCTCCCACAATAAACCCAAAATCACCTTGTCCTGTTAAATAAGTTGATTTTATTTTTGGTGCCTTGCCAAATTCTTCAAGTCAGAGCTCTTTATAAACTTAAGTCAATAGTAAGGTTTTAAAGAATAATGTTACTAAAGGCATTGTCATTACAGGTTGCTGAGAATAGGTTTTTTTGATGTATTGTTTGATCAGGAATATTTGTAGTAATATTAATTCATGACAAATCAAGGGAAGGATAACAGGTGCATATATAGTCAATTGTATAAACATGGGCAATCTATTCATGCATGAATTTCAGTGTTTTGACACTTTTTGAGACAATCTCACTATGCAGTCCAGGCTGGCCTTCTCTCCGCCCCCCCCAACTGGGGATTGAACTCAGGCCTTTATTCTACTGAGCTATTTCCCCAGCCCCTTAACTTTGTAACCCAGTCTGGCCTTGAACTTGCAACAATCCTGCCTCAGCTTCCTGAATGCTGGGATTATATGCGCGAGCCACCATGCCCAGGTATGCTTTGACAGATTAATATTGAAACTGGCAATGTTCTTAGGAAAGATATATTCCCTTAACCAAAGAAATCTCAAGTTTTCCATTTTTGTGTATTATCAAAGCACTTTGGACTTCTTTAAAATGTATTCCCCTCCCTACTAGTTTTCATTCAACAAATAATTTGAATGCCTGTTTGGTGCCAGGCACTCTATTATGCCTTACTCTTTGGGGAAATGGTTGGGGGGGAGAATCTGGGCCACTTGCAGCCAGTTTCATTTAGATGGGAAGATAAAACTTTCACATACATGTTTAGCTGATGCCATGAAGATGACATCCAGTTTTCAAGCTTTGGTCTTGATAGCCTGATTGTCCTCTATCACACTGTGTCAGCTACATAAGTATTAGTAGAAGGCAGAATTTTTTAGCCAAACACTTAGCCTGCTAGCTATACATAAGCCATATTTTTAAAAAGGTGCCATTTAAAGAGTGGTTGCTAACTGCCACCAGGAGTCTAGCTGGGGAGGTGTCAGGTTAACATGTTTGCCCTTCACCCACTGTCTACAAAAAGTACTGGCATCCACAAACAGTACCAGCTACATGGCTTTTTGGATCTGTCAGTCTGTGGTTTCCCTATGTAGTGTAAAATTTACTTTACCTCAGGACCAAATTTATATGTAAATCCTCGATGCAGAACCAGCATTCATACATGCCTTACTCTTTCAGAAAGAACTCCTTGATCCAACAAGTACTGTTTCAACTCTAAAGTGCCCAGAATTTAAGGTAGAGTCTGCCTTTATGACATAATACTTAAAATCAGTGTGGTGTGTAGTTGGAATACAAATAAGTTACTTTTTAAAATGTATTTGTTACAGGGTCTCACTACACAGCTCGGACTCATGGTGATCATCCTGTTTTCAGCCTTCCCAGCACTGGAATTACAGGTGTGAGCCATTACACCTGGACTCCGTGGCCAGCTCAGCCCACCCTGGGCATGGGGCTGGTGTGGCATGTGGTGTCTGGGATTGAACCCTGGTCCCTGTGCTTGCCTAAACAGGCACTTTAGGCCGCTGAGCTATCTTGCCAACCCTAACAGTTAATTCTTGAATGATCAAAGACTGATTACTGATGTTTTTATCTTCTCTAACTAGACTACCCATCCTGGACCTGTAATTAACTACCATCCAGTGCTTAGGGGGTGAGATTAAATTCCATAGTCAACTTGGCTACTTTTTAATAGCACTGATAAAATGTACTGAAAGATCATGTTACATCTAGATATGATTTCAATTTATCTAAAATAAAAACAAAATTCTGTTCTTGGGTTCTATGAAGTCTGACAATTCCCACAAACTCTCATCACAAAGGGAAAATTTTACATAAAATAATACTAAAGCTAGTTATACTTACACAAAATTATTGGGTATGCAACATTCTAACCAATACATGTGGCAAATGAACAAAAGTTTAATGGTCACTGCAATTTTATTTTTAATATATATGAAAGTCAAATTTATTATTTCTTTAACATTTCAAATTAAAAATAGAGCAACATTAGTGAAATGTAGCATACTGTACTACAGATAGAAACTGTATCTCCATGAAAGTATCAACAAAAAAAATGAACATTTTAAGCAGCTTTGCAACAAATAGAAATATATTTATTTGGTTCTATTTTCAGTATTACCAGGTTACATTGCCTTCTACCTGAGAAATTTAAATGAAGTGATTAAAAACATATCAACAGAATTTTAGCTTTCTTACAGCACTAACAGCAGCACATACAATGAAAAACGTGAAAACACCTATCTTAAAGGACATTTTTAAAATTCAGGCCCTTAATAAAGCATACACAAAAAGATTCAAGAAAATACATTCAGACCACTTAAAACAATAGCACAACGAAGAATAATATTAATCAAGAGAAAATGGTTCCAATGTTCCAATTCTGTTTCATTCCTTACTAAGTCATTGGATTGAAAAGTACAGGTGAAGTTGTTCTCTTCCTCATTCAAGGCCCACATAAAAAAAGGCTGACCCAAATCTAGAATTCTTTACTGCAAGATGAATACAAAAATCTAGGATTGTTCATAATATCAACATAAAACCAATATTTTTACTTTCTTCTAGCCCAAGGATGGTTTTTAGCAAACAAATCAAACAAGACAAAAATACTATATAAAAATGACTTAGCACCAGTTCTATTATACAAAAAATGCACATACTGTATTCTGTAATTTATTTTTATCTCTTTACTGAGCAGCAAATTATTTCCATGCCAAAAGAAACTGCAAAGAAAAATTATCAAAGGACAGACAGAAGAAGCACTTGGGGATGCAGCTCAACAGTAGGGGCTCCATCCCCAGCACCCTAAAAAAATTTCAAAAAAAGCTTAATTACTTCTGAATACAAACATAATGTTCGTTTCAATGGCATAAAACATGAAAAAATAAGGAGACAGGCTTTCACTAGTGAATAATACCTAGTTTTCAGACAATTTTCTGACAAAATTCCAGCAGTCAGCAGTTTCAAAGGCTACTCTGGATGATGGTACTTGGACATGAACGGTCACTGCTCATCCTCAGAGTAGAAAAGGCACTCGCCCCATGAGCAATTTTTCAGATTTCAGAAGTCAAGCCTAGTTTTGACAGCACAGTCACTGTCTTGAAAGTGGGATAGAACATAAGAGAGCCAATAATAGGTTCTTATCTTACAAGTAATAAGCACGACGAGAGATGATACAATCATTTTTGCGGTTTTGCATGTTTGACTACCTCTATTAAAATGTGACTAGAAAGATCAATGAAACAATTTGTGGTTTCTACTTTACATAATGAGGTTCTGTAGCCACTTCAGATACCAGGTTGCTCAAGAGGCTGGTTATGGGCACACACTGTGTGGCATTATTCTGGACAACCACACTGACTGGCATCCTACCTGGTTCTAGTAGCTGGTGCTTTTCTACAGAATATTAAATTAAAATTGTAAAATGAATTGTGTCAGAGGAAAATGTCTTCCACTGCTTCTGTGAATTAAAATCACTTTTTTCTGTTGCAGGCAATCTTGAATCTCAGTTGATGTCTTCAAATGCCAGGTCAGGTATAGCCTTGTTGGGAAAATAAAGTCATTTACTGCCCTGAGGCCCTAAATCCAATATAAGGCAGAACAAATCAGCCAAGCTTTTTTATACAACATGCACTGCACTAAGAGGTAAATCTTTAAGAATCTATAAAATATCTCAATTTAAAAACATATTTAAGAAATCCAAAATAAGTAAAAAGATAAGTAGTTTATGTTAGACTTTAAAAATCCTGTATACATACAATTTTTCCACAGCTAGAAAACTATGGCCTTTTCTCTTAAATCTTCCTAACTCCATGGCACTACTGAGGATTTAGGAGGCACTTGTTACTATTTTATAAAAGTCATTTATACTCAGTGACTTTTTACAAACTGGTATCACCCGACCCTGAGTGAAAGGATTACATAACTTGAAATGGAGTATCTGTCATGTCCTCTCTTCCCAAGTGCCATTATTGGTGCCCCAGGACCTTTCAATATTTCCTTTTGGAAATATCCCTGGTTCTATCAGTTCAATCCTGTTGCTTTTCTAAGGATGGAAAAACATGGGGATAATTTTTGAAAACTCTACTAATGAGACCGTGACCGTTTAAACCTCAAAGGACAGGCCTAGTCCCTTTCAGATGCCTCTAAAACTCTGTCTCTAAAAGGACAATTCTCTGACTACTATGAATACATCAAGACTAATTTACTTCTGGTCAGTGTTCATGAAATTCTTTAAGGTCATAAAGATGTCTGTTCCATATTCTAGCTGTTATCTTTCTATCTACAATTACTAAACAAAAGTCAAAAAAGTATTTTACTGCATGTGCTATTTCTGACCAAATCAAACAACATGCAAAAGGATCCTTAATTCATTCACTACTGTCATTTTTGGAGATGAATAATGATGATCATGTGACAGCTAAAGAACCACAGAGGGCTACCTCAATGTTAATCTGCTCCTTTGCTGGCACCAAATTAAAGCTGTTTAAAAAAAGTTTATTCTTGAAGTTTTGCAAGTACATTGTTTTACCAAGCTTCAGAACCTGGAGGTTTTATATTTCTGAAGCTTGCCAGCACACCTGCAGTCACTTTGATCTATGCTTTAAACTTTGGCAAGGTTTTGCATTTGACCCTGCGCAAGCTCTTGCTCTGTAGTAGCTAACTACATAGCTATATTTGGTTTTAAATTTTTCTGTTTATGATTTGTTTATTGTAAATACAGGTGTTCCTGATCAAATTGGCCATCAAAACATATGAAAATATAAAGAGCTAGTATAGTTGTTTCCTAAATAGCTTCCATAATCAATGTGCTCGTGACTGTTATGTCTAATATAATAATTACCAGAACTGAGCATGAAATCTTTAGAATTCTCATGTTTTCTTAGCTTTCTTGCACCCTGGTTATACTCTGACTTCCAAGAACTTTCTCTTCTTTTGGGAAAATATCCCAAGCAGAAAGCATGAGCACTTTTTGATGATGTTATTGGCACATGAGAGGGTTTATAGTTCACCTTGTGGTCCATCGTGCTACCCCTAACTCTCCTCCTCTTCCTTGTAATTTCTTCTAGTTCATCACTGGAACTGGACTCATGGTAGTAGCCTTCATTGAACATGTAGCTAGATGTAGCTACTTTTCTCTTCTTTTTGTTGTTGTTCTTCTCATCTCTAATGGAACTGCTTTTATCCTTGAGCCATGAACATCTCGGTTCATACTTAGACCTCTTGTCTGGTGTCCGAAGCTTGTATTTAGAGGATTTTTCCTCATGTTTCCACTCTGAATGCAAGGTCTGCTGGCTTGACCTAGATTTTTGCTTGCAAGGGATGATTTCATCATTATCAAGAGTTCCTCCTTTAGGGGAACTATGATGTATAGCCATGGAGTCCTCTTTCTCCTTTTCATTTATGTTATGAGTTTCACTGAAGCACTCAGAATTGCTGCTAATTTCCTCTAAGAAATCTGTCAACTGCAGATCTAAGTCTACTGACCTGAAAGGTGAAGAAACTTCGTGGCCCCTTGTGGAATTAGAATCACTGGAATGATGAGCATGAGTCTTTTCCAAGAGATCCCATTTATCATCAGTTGGGGATAGCTGACCACAAGCTTCACTGTCTGTATCCTCACAATCATTTTTAAAACTCTTAGTACTTTCTTTGGTATAGTCCACTTTTTCTCTCTTTTGTGATTTGTGCTCAGGAACCTGCATGCATTCCACTGACCAGTAATCATCTTCCTGTACCTGTTCTCTCCTTCCCAGGCTTTCCACTTGGCTCAAATTGGTTGAGGGAGGCCTATATTTTCTCAAACTGATCTGAAAGCCATTCCCTTTAACACGGACATCCCTCTGCCACTGACATGTACTTGCCATGTGACTTGCTTCTAGGCAGATACGAGCGTATTTCGGAGTCTGATAATAATTTAATAAATAGTCAATAAACTCATCAGTTTCATAGATCTTCTGTTTCCTGTCATGGTCTCTCTCAGAGAACCTCGAAGAAGAGGATTTAGGAGAACCGGGGTGTTCCTCTTTTTCAAGAGACTGACCTTGAATCATTGTGATCTGCGAGGAATTCTGGTTAGAGACAAAATTATAGTTGTGTTTATCTGTTAATAATTTTCCTGTTTTCTCTTTTCTAGTTGAGTATCTTAATTTCTTCCCCCCAAGACAATGGGAAGATTTATGTAAGTGAACCTTAGTTCTTTTCCTCATTTTTCGTTTTTGTTTACTGTCAGATTTAGCAACCTGATATTCTGGCATTTCTTCTTGATTTGGGAGATGATGAGGGTTTAACTTTTCTTCTTTCCAAGTCTGCAGTGTGTCCCCTGGAGTATGATTAGCTTCGGGGCCTGTAACATCAATCTCTTGTTGGCAAAACTGCATGGATCCCTTCAAAGAAAAAAAGTTGAATATCTCACATAAAAAGCTGACCAGATGAAAAACTTCTAAAGAACACTAAGCTCTCACACTGAGGAGATTCTAATACCTAGGGTAGATCCAAATTAGAACAACATGCACTGAGAAAATAAGAAGGATAAATAAATTAAATATCTTTATCTAATATGATCTACTTTTACTAGGCCTGTGCCCTATTCTTACGTCAGAAGGCATCATACTTTACATAGATGTCAAAGTGTATAACCCTCTTTTGATGTGTTCAAAAACAAGATGTTTTACTGTTTTAGGAATTGCAATAGGAGCTAGAAAAACATGGAAGAATAAGGCATACTCTACAGCCCTTCCAGAAAATCCTAGCACAAGAAAAGGCTGATGGGTGAAATGTGTCTAACAATGTCAACTGGCTTAAAAGATAAACTGTTTCTCTGCAGTGAATTTCAGCTTCTTACTGTGGTTTGCAGGGAAGGGTGTCTCTTAAATTGTCCCACCTTACTTGCCTCATTAGGAAGTAAGTCATTGAGATTAGGGTGTAACTCAGTGTTACAGCATTTGCCTAGAATGCAAGACAACCTGGATACTATACCCAGCACCATAAGATAAAAATAAAGACATCAAGTAGTAAATATATCTATGACTGCAGTCTCACCTGCGGTTATGTCTGTGATGGTGTCTGCTCTAAACAACTGCTGCCCACGCTGTCTTCCACCCTGGAAGGGTTTGTACTGTGCTCCCCGTGACACCTGTTACACATCAGGGCACACTGCCTACCCACTGCCTGGGATTAGAATTTATACTAAACATCATGGGTCTAAGTATTAAGGGGACCTAGAATTAGACACCACATCCATTTAAAGAGCGAAATTCTTTATAAGTGCTCACCTTTAGCTGTCATTAGGGTAAACTAAAAGAAAAAAAACAGCTAGCTTTATTATAAATGCAAATGTGAGATTTTGGTGTCTTGATTTTACTAGGTTCATAGTCCCTACTAAAGAAAAGCACCCAAACAGACACAAAATTAAGGCATCTACTCTTCATATTTAAAAACACTTAATACAGGTTTTCAAACTAATACTTTGAGAACCTTTCTGGCTTTTTATCCAGGATACCTGCTGTGTCTATCTCTAAGAGCTTGGGAAGGTAAAAGAAATATTTTACCAAATCTAAGCTCCCCAAACAATGCAATGGCTCTGTGAGGCCAGACCTTCTTTATGAAATAGTTGAACAGTAGAGTAACATAAGCTTGCATAAGGCTCAAGGCTTTTCCTTCTCCAAACCTGTTACAGATGAATAGCCAAGTAAAATTTGCAGAGGACTACAAACCTGGCACCGACACCTATCTATTGCTCTCCCTGACATTTCTTGTGACAACCATCAGGAACTCAGAAGAGTAGATTAACTAGCTCAGTTACTCTAGTAATACAGCCCTGAAGTTTTGAAATGCAAAGTAAGGAAGGGGGCCAGGGCTGAGACATAACTCCTTTAGAGAATGTAGATATTCCTTTTAGAAATCCATACTTGGGGTTATCGGAGATCACCAGATTTAAAAGAAACTCTACTGAATACCCAGAGGCTCCCACAGAAGTGATTTTCAACCTGCCCTGATTAAATGCAAAGGTTGGGGCTCTGAAAGGTTAGTACATACCCAAACTGAAGAACAATTGGGAAACAGCCTTACTGAAATTTTCCTCAGGAGGACATGGAGCAAACGAAGAGCCTCCACCCGCCTCTGAGCCAGCAGGTACTTCCTTTCCTCCCACTCTTCTGAAGAGTCCAGCTCCCGAGGCACCTCAGTTTTGGTTTTCACCTTCTGCTTCCTCTGTCGGTGGCTTCCTTTTTCCTTCACAGCTCTCTTCCTGACCCTGGCCTTCTTCCTCTTTTCCTGGGCTTTCCTCTCATCTCGTCTTTTTCTGGATAATAATTAAGATGAAACCATGTGCAAGATTCACTTTCAGGCATTTATTCCCTCCACCCACACATATACTAGGGGAAGACAAATTGTGTAGGTTTCTAGGACTCTGCTAATCTGAGGACCTGGCATCCCACAATTTATGATAACAAAAGCAAGTCAAAAGAATACTTTCAAGGGGCTGGTGAGATGGCTCAGTGGTCTAAAGCACCTACTTAGAACAAGCTTAGCAAGAACAAAGGGACCGCGGTTCAATCCCCCAGCACCACATGCCAGCCAGCCACGGCCCCTGGTGGGCTGAGCTGGCCACACACACACACACACATACAAATAAATAAATAAATACATAAATAAATAAATAAATAAATAGATAGAATACTTTCAAGCATCAGTCAAGGGAAAAAGGCACATTATTCCACTGATCAAATGTAAGCATGTAAAGGAGACATGCAAAGATGGGGGAAGAAGGGAGCAAAGAAAGGAGGGAGGGATAGAAAGAAGGGAAGGTGGGAAAGAAAAGAGCAAGAAGAAACAGGGGAGGCAGGAGGGAGGAAAGAAGGGAATTGACAGGAAGGGCCTCTGGCCTCTGCTATCAGACCACAAGCAGGGATTCCAGGACCCAGCTTTCACGGCGATATCTTTTTTCTCGAGAGCAAAAGTTTCTGCAGAGTTGTTTCACATAGGCAAATAAAGATAAGTGAAGGCACTCAGAAAATCTTCTGGGTGAGAACTGACGCTAGGCACATATTACTTAACACAGAATTCAATCAGACCTCTGGTTTAGAAGAATATGAGGTTTTAAAACTGTTTTCTGAAAATTAAAACTAATAAAGTTAGGTTTTTATGAGACTGTGGAAAGGGGGAAGGAAGGCAATTGCTTGAGTCAAGACCTGGCCAAAAATCAGAGGATTATCCAAGTGGAATATTCAATCTGGAATCTGGGAATGAATAGTACCTTGACTGGGCTCAAATTTCAGTCAAGTTTCCTAGATGTAATCACATGTAACTCCTATAACCCTATCAGCCCAAAGTGAGGAGCATGTGGAAGGGTACTCTTTATTGCCATATATTTGCAGTATATATATTAAATACACAATTGAGCCCAGGGATTTTTCACTGAGCTATATCCCCAGACATGTATTATATTTTTTTTTATTTTGAGAAAAGTCTCACTAAGTCACTGAATTATCCTGGTTGGGATTGAATTTGTGATCTTTATGCCTCAGCCTCCCAGGGTACTGGGATCATAGGCATGTACCACACCCCAGCTTGAATGTTGGTATTTATACGCAAGAGAAAGGGCCAGGAAATAAAACTGGTCATCAGAGCCCTGTAGTTGTAGCCCATCTGTTCCTTCTGGGCATACCTTTGACAAACCGATGAGTCCTTTTTAGACTCTAGCTCCTAAATTTGGAAACAATAACCTCAAAAAAAAACTATAGAAGCTCCTTTACTTATAGAAAGAACTTGGAACAACAATGAAAATTGTCCCAACAAATGTCACTTTCTTACCTGTGGGTTACTTTTTTTTTTCTTGAGGGTTACTTTGATTACTGACCATTTTATAGAAGAAAATGTTTTCTAGGCCTATTTTTTATTTTAAATTGGTAGACTGGGCAATATTGGTACATTATAGATAAACTGGTAAAATTTCTAATTGAGTAGATTAAAATTTTTACTATAAAACTACTGGTCCTTTTTAATCTTTTATTTCTTTATTTGGTACAGGGTTTTGCTAGCATCTCAGACTCATAGTGATCTTCCTGTTTCAACCTCCCCAGTCTTGGGATAACAGGCACATGCCACCACGCCCAGTTTCAGGGGCCCGCACCACATGTGATACTGGGGATTGAACCTGGGTCCTTGCACTTGCCAGCAAACATTTAGACTGCAGAGCTATCTTCCCCCAACTACCAGTTTTTTTTAAATCATGTCCACATAGACATCTTAATCTTACTAGTCCCATTACTATTCGGTACTTGTTCTGCCTTACAAAAGTATTTTTTCAGTCTGTTTTCAACTATTTTGTCCTTTTGGTTTTGTAACAGCACAATTGAGACTGCAGCCTTCAGTGGAGCTTTCCAGTCTGTACCAATACCTGCCCCCACCCCAATGTTTCTATGAAGTCTACATATTCACCCAAAAGGATTAATCCATAAAACAAAAGAAAAAGCTTCTTCATGAAATTCAGTTTTCTCACCTTTCAGCTACTTCCTCTTCTCTTCTCTTCTCTTTCTTTCTTTCTTCCTCCAGCTGCTGTAATTTTAGCCTTTCCTGGTTTCTTCTCCTTATAGCTCCTTCACTGAAGTGTTGGGTTGTATCAAACATAACCTGTTCTCAAACGGTTTAGAGTTTGATTAGAAAGGTTTTTGATTTGAATTGACTTGGTATGTAAATCTAAGCCAAACGAATTTAGAATGCCTTCCCTGCATTCCCATACCCAGCCTGTCCCACTGCTTCTTGGACACCATCTGAAGGGTACTTGTGGACACAAGTTTATCAAATTATTGCTTTAACTTTACACAATTGAATCTGTCCGTTCTATCTCAACAAAAATGCTTCTAAAAGCTCTGAGGATCTTATATTACATAGGGCTATAGGTAACAGTACAGTGTCAGCACACACAGAGGCTGAAATGTATTACACCTCTGGTTTGTCATAAGAATCAACTGAGTTAAGCCTGATGTAATGGTGCAAACCTGTAATCCCAGAATTCTGGGAGGTTGAATCAGGAGGATCCTAAGTTCAAGTACCACCTAGGGAATTTAGCAAGACTATCTTGAAATAAAAAGTAAAGAGGACTGTGGATCAGCACAAAGGCCCTAGGTAAGTCCCCAGTACCACACATGCACACACACCAAAAAAATTCAACTGAATTAATGTACTTTTTTAAATCATCAAAAATAAACAATAGGGGCCGGGAAGATGGCTCAGTGGAATAAGTGCTTTCTGGCAAGCTCAAGGGCCTGAGTTCAATCCCCGGTTCCACCAAAAAAAAAAAGATAAACAGTAATCAACAAGTACGGTAGAGAATGGGAGCAAGAAGCAAAGAAGCATGAAAAGTGACTTAAGAGATGAGACCTGGGGCCGGGGAGATGGCTCAATAGAATAAGTGCTTCCCTGGCAACCATAAGGGCCTGAGTTCAATCCCCAGTTCCACCAAAAAAAAAAAAAAGAGATAAGACCTGACCATCATCATTGCTAAACTACTTTTCAAATCGGGAAATAAAGTGATTGAGATAAACCGTTTTCTTCAAAAATAGGATTGGGGGGGCACTCAGGGTGCCTTCAGGGCAGGTCTGGTTTTGGCTTGAGGATGAGGGGATTGAACCACAGCATCCTGAGCCTGACTGCTTTGTTTCAGCAGGCACTTAAACACCTGAGCTAGCGGGTGTGATGGCTTCAAGGTTACTTTGCCGAGCTGGAATGCTGGCCACGCAGGCCCTACGGGCCCGCGGCCCTACTGGGCTGGTTGCTGTCCGCTCTATGGTTTCTGGAGGTGGTATCCCTACTGATGAGGAGCAGGCGACTGGCCTGGAGAGAGAGATCATGCTGGCGGCCCAAAAAGTACTGGACCCGTACAATATACTAGCCCCAAAGGGGGCTTCAGGCACCAAGGAAGACCCTAATTTAGTCCCATCCATCATCAACAAGCGAATAGTGGGCTGTATCTGTGAAGAGGACAACAGCGCTGTCATCTGGTTTTGGCTGCACAAAGGCGAGGCTCAGCAGTGCCCAAGCTGTGGAGCCTATTACAAGCTGGTGCCTCACCAGCTGGCCCACTGACCCCCACGGACTCCCTTGAATGTGCTGTAAAGTCTCTTTCCAATAAAGACAAGCTGTGTTTCAGCTCCTTCCCTTGGGGGGTGGGAAAAAGAAACACCTGAGCTAATGGGCAGGCCCCCCTCTTCAAAAATAAAGAAGAGGCAGGTGTTTCTATTTAAATATGTAGGAGAAAGACAAAGAACAAATTCATAACCATGGCTTCTTTTGAGGGGAGGAAGGGGAATGTGACAGGATGGATACATGGAGGGGAATATTCTCTCATCTTACTGGTAATGCCTTGTTTTACTTAGGTTGGGAATGGTACATGGGCAGTTATAGTGTTTATTATATCTTTTGTCTGATTGAGCATCTCATAATTTAAAAAGATACATTTTAACATAAGTGGCCACACACATTCATACACCAGTCACTGCTGTAAGTCCAAATGAATGCTATAGATTGATTCAGGGCCGGTGAGATAGCTCATTGGACTAAAGCACCTGCTTAGGCAAGCTTTGGCAAGCACAGGGACTGGAGTTCGATCCCCAGCACCACATGCCGTGCCAGCCCCACCCCCCCAAGGCAGGCTGAGACAGCCACAAAGTTCAGGCATAGTGGCACATGCTTGTAATCCCAACACTGGAGAGGCTGAAAACAGGAGCATTACCACAAGTACAAACTGCATAATGAGACCCTGTAATAACCAAATACATTAACAAAAAAAAGATTGACTCAGAGAAAAGGTGTAACTGTGTTACATCTTTCCCGCTGCTGGGCTAAGACTTCAAGACAGACACGACCAAAGCACGCACACATCAGTGAAGTGTTGCGACTATATAGACAGGCAGACTTTGAAAGCAAATGATCCAAAATCTTTAAAATTATGTTTTAGTAATTTCTGTGACAGACATCCTAAAAACACAAGTTGTTACTCCAGGAGTCATGAGGGACTAAACTGCTGTCTTTATGGTTTCAGATTGCATCTTTCCCTTTCTCTCAGCAACTTGTCAAATATAGAAAGTATATGAGATAGCTCCACAAGGGCCACAAATAATCCTTTGAAGCCCACAAGAATCTGAGGCAGAGTCCAAGACTACAGCAACCATCACTTTAAAATCACAACTGGTGGAATGTCTGAGTGCTAATAATAGCTTAAGTCTGGGTGTTCAAATCAAGGTGAGTTTTCTTCTTAAACATCCACTTATTAATCACAAATTTAAAGGCACAAGTCGTTGCATTAGCAAAGTCTTTGCATTTGCATTGATCAGAGCCTGAAGGAAATGTATTTTAAATGCTTCTGTTCAACTTTCATTGAGGACAACTGGAGCAGTGAAAAATAAAGTTTGGCTACTTCTTACCTTGATGTTACATGCCAGAGCTTTCCCATCATCTCCCTTAAGCATCAGCTTCATTCCTCGAAGAGACTCCATGGCTTTTATAAAGTCTGTTGACTCTTGGTACTGGATAAAGGCTTCGAACGTTTGCAGACCAAAGCTAAAACTCCCAAAGCTCCCACCAGTCATCACTTCTCTGTAGGGGTCAAGCATAGGGATATCCACGTTCTTGATTTTCCCAAAACTTTCAAAGACTACCCGAAGGATCTCCTCACATGGCTTCTCCCCACTGGAACCTTTAGGTGCAAACCATTTACAGGGTAAGCCTTCAAAATATATGGAATCTGGGCTCTTATCATGGTTCTGCTCTTCAGTTCCATCACTTAGTAAGGGCTCTTTTTCCTTAGGGAAGTGTTCCCACTCTCCCTGAGCATCTGTAGCCACTACTTTTAAGTCTGTTTTCAAACCATTTAGCTTGATGATCTTCCCATGTAACTTTGCCTTCAGGATCTGAACCAAGCTTCGGGTTTCAGCCTCACCCTCAAATCGAATGAAGTCCTTTGTACTTTTAGAGAGCCGAACTGTGGTGAACTGGTCAGGGCAAATGAGACTCTTTAGTTGGTCAAGAACTTCCCAGTTAGAGAAGGGCCTCACAGGCTCTATACTTTCAGGGAGCAATACATTGATCATCAATTTTGCTATGGGCTTGAGGTAGAGGTGCTGGGCAGCACAGAGCTCCGTTGCCTCAGAGTTATCATATACCACTGTGACCGTCATGGTATCCTCAGACCACCTTGGAGGGCAAAAGAGAAAATGTTGGTACAAATGGAGATTTTGATTGTGAAATGGGGCTAGCATTTCTGGATTTAGATCAAACTGATAGAGGAAAGGACAGTATATTTTAGGTAGAATTAAAATCATTTCATAGTCCTAGCCCAGGTCCGGTGAGTGTGCGGAGAGCTTCCTGCTACCCTGCGCC